AATTTTTTATATCAGAAATGCTTCGATTTACAGATTTTTTTCAGTTGTTGCAATATTTTCTATTTAATTTGTATATACTATCTCTAAAATGGGACAGCCTGGTAATGGAACCCAAGCTTAAACACGATATCCCTTTAGATTTCATAAGACAGCTTATACATGTACCCTGAATGTAGTTTTATATGAATAACTTATGCCCTGAAAGTAGTTTTATATAAAATGGAATAAAATGTGTACATACAGATAAAGATAATGACGCCAGTCATGAAGCGGTCAAACAGATTTTTAAGTTGTGAAATAAAGATATCACATAAAAAATAATGTTTTGCATTTTCTGTAAATGTACAAGGAAACCATGTTTACTACTTACAAAAAATATAGAAGTGTATTTTTGACATTTTAAATAATATCTTTATTGAGCACGAAACACCCTTGTAAGTAATTCACAACAAACTGAAGTCAATGCAGGCTACGTATCTGGGTTGTACATCGCCTACAAACCTTTCCAGTGCTTTCTGAAATCTTCTATTTATGGCAAGTCATGTCAGCACCTGAAAATCTTTCGGATTTAGAAATTTCGGATAAAGGATACTCAACTTGTACTAATAAATAAGTTATAAGAAGAAATAGATTGGCAGTTAAGTCTTATCACTACCCATTGCAGGACTTTTTGACATTTTGAATATCTTTGTTGAGCACGAAACACCTGGTAAGTAAACTACGAACCAAGGTATTGCTGTGACGATCACTAACACAAAACTGGAGTCCACGTAGAGTTCGTAGCTGGACTGGTTAAATCTTACCGAGGACAGAGGTGGGTCACTTGCAACAGCTACATATCACCTAGGAACCTTCCTAGTGCTTTCTGAAATTTTCCAATTGTGGCAAGTTGTGCCAGCACCCGAAAAACTTTCGGATTTCGGAGGTTTTCGGCTTTGGGAATTTCGTATAGAGGGATACACAACCTGTAATAAAGGAACCAGAAAGGGTTTTTTGTCATCTACGCAAATTTATGACCTCGCTTTACTGAGCACGAAACATCTGGTAAGTAATCCATAAGAACAAAAATTGCAATATAAGCTCTGGTAAAAAAACAAAAATGCAATAATAATAACAAAAATTGCAATATGAGAACTCGTAAAAAAGTGATTTAATAATAAAAATTGCAATATGAGCACTGGGAAAAAAGTGAAATAATAACAAAAATTGCAATATGAGCACTGGTAAAAATGCAATAATAATAACAGGAATTGCAATATGAGCACTGGTAAAAATCGTAGCTGAGATCTTAAGTTTATAAGGTTTACGTTTTTATTCAGTTTGTAGTTTAACAAATGTTTTTAACAAATAAAAACCTATTTATTGTAAAAGTAAATAATTAATTAATACATACTGAAATTTTCATTTAAATTGGATACTTTCCCTAATTTTGGTAATTTAAAAAAAGCGCTGCCCTTTGCAGTTTTTCTTCGAGGGTTTGTGGAAACTTTAAAATCGATATGTATTAGAGGGAGGAACCCCGTATCAATGTTTCGGGAGGGGCATCGGCCCAGTGGAAAACAATTATAAAATTATAATGTGACAATTTTTAACTTAATATGCCCTTTTTATTTTTTTTATTTTATTTTTTTTTTTTTTCAGGTATCGTTCAGACTTATCAGCGTAAGTAAATACAAAATACTATTTTTTTATTTCTGTAAAGAATTAGGATATCCTTGTATAAGAAAAAAGATATCGCGCACGTTGTTTTCCTTAATTTATTGCGATACTTCCTTTTGTAGTGATCGAGGAAATATCCTCTGTAGCGTTTGTTCCACAAGGCAGTGGTTCGCGGGAAGAGGCAGTTTGAGTGGAACTTAATTCTCGTCGACGTAATACGGAGGGTATGTGGGTGGGTTGTTGCAATTTAAGTGTCCTGGCGGGTCCTAGCGCTGAAGGTTAATCCCGACAGGAAAAAGAAATGTAGATCGTCCGACCACTTTCCATGGTAGTGGCGATAGAGCAGAGACACACACCACATCCGGCCTGTGAGAGAGAAGGTGGAGTTGTGAAAATGATTCTTCTCAAACAAGGACTTCTAGACATTATTGAACGCTATCAAGACAGTAAAGTGAAGTCTGGGCAGCTCCCACCCAAATATGACAACAGTACTTTATTTTAGGCCTTATCTGGCTCTTTGAATAGAATAATCACACGAAGTTTGGTAATGAATGATAATAATTAAGACAAGAACAACACATATAAGAATCACCAGCTGCGCGTAGAAGTAATCAACTGCTAGAAGTGATTCAAGTGAATTCCACAATGAATCTCCAACTGCAGGATGTCTACCAACCGCCCCACGCGGTCAGATGTGGCACAAGGCCAAATTTAATGTGGGGTATCCGATCCCGTAGGTTCGGCCAAAAAATTCCCCGTAGACCCCGTATAAAACGGGGTCGGTAACTGTTTCCCGAAACGGCACTCAGCCGTTCGTCATAGCCTCGTCTGGGAATCTTCTCTGCCCGGAAGCTGAGAGTTTGACCAGCACAGCTGGAGTCGAATCTCCAACTACAGATCAACATACAGCATTTACTACTGTATTTATGTGGATGGGGACATACCCATTATCGTCCATAGGTATGCTACAAAAACTCTTATAATGTCATCGTTTTAGATCGCTCATAACTTATACAATGTCCAAAATTGAACAATATCATCTGTTTCGGAATTTTTTTTTTTTTATTAATAATTATGAACAATGTTCGTTGTCAAGTTTTTGGAATTTTCATATACTTCAATTTTGATTGGTCATTGCAGTTTATGTAACAGCATTTCCCCTATCGAGGGATGTTTGGTTGATTTAAACCTTTAAAAACTCTTTATTCTACATTCAACACCATCACTTGATAAGACACCAGAAGTGTTGAAACAAAATGGCAATTTTTGTAGTGATTTTATAACATATTTTTGTTAGAATTTTCGAATAAATTATATTTGCTGTATTCTATATTGAGCACTCTTTTAAGAATAGTGTTTTTTTGGTTACTGGAATTTATTCCGTATGCACCAATCCTATACTTTGATATATATATATATATATATATATATATATATATATATATATATATATATATTATATATAGATGTGTAAAAATATATAGAAAATAGGAAAGAACTCGTTAGGTAAATAATCCAAAGCGCTTTAGTATTTTTGTTATTATTTTTTTAAAATAGTGCTCGATACGAAAGTAGAGCATAAATAACTGAAATATTGATACAAATTATTAACCCTTACGCCCCCTTTTTTTTTAAATAATTGCTCTAGCCGTTACCATAGTAATTTTAATACTGAATATGCTTATAAAACGCGTAAATTTCAGGAATTAGTTTTTCAAAAAAAAATTTCGCTTGAAGATGGAACAGAGCTTGGTACTTCAATTTAATTCAAATAATTATATTGAAGTTTTCGGCTCTTGTTTTGAAACATGAGAACTCTTATGTAGCGATGGAATCATATTTTTAAATAAATAATTATATATATATACACAAAGAATAAAAATGAATCAATTTCTTTTCTTTTTTTGCAGCTATTGTGCCTCATTTATACGAAATTCCAGGTAAAAATTATTTTATCATTTGTATTTTAACGCAGTGAAATGTACTCAGCCACTACTCATTTAACGACTTCTCTAGAGTTTTGTATAAACATTTGAAACAACTATCAACCCGTCAGTTCTCCTTCCATGTTTATTTAACATGAGTAGATGTTTATCATTTGTTCCCTGTTTATGTTTAGGATATGGTTTACGGGTACCATGGCCATATTGTTTTAACTGAACTTATTTTGCGTTGATAAAGTCCACATTCGACGAAACGCGTCAGCATTAATAGTTTTCCTATTGTCATTTTTATTCATAAATATTGTCTTCTCTACTAGTTAAATCGGAGAAATTTTCATATATCATCGCTTGAACCGGCTTCTAATGCTCCAGTTGGTAGCGGCTTGGTGAGAGTAGACGTGGCTCCAGGGGGCACCGTCCTATGGTTACAGAGAACTCAGTAGAGTTCCGCCACGGAATATGTGAGCGAGCGGCGCTAAGTTGAGTTTGATTTGGAATCTCTTCGTTACCGAGGCCCATTTGGTACAGTTGGTATGATGTTCGCTTGACAACCTAACTGTCAGGGTTTCAATTCTCGGTAGATGAGTCCCAATTATAGGACGAAACGGCCGTCCAGTGCTTTCTGCATTCTGTTTAGATTTCCATCAGACACGATGAATTAATTAAATATATATATATATGTGTGTGCGTTTAAAATTTACATTTTTATAAATTTTCATATTACTTTGATTTCAGCTGCTAGGATAAATTTCAGTGAGATTTTAATAATTTAGTATCCGCCCTTAGCTTTGTAGGGGTCTATCGTTGTAATCGATGGCCTTCATAGAGCTGGTATTTCACTACAAGCGACAATCCTCCTGTGCTGTGAACAGGTTAATAGGAGTAGACAGGTTCGCCTACCAGCCGGTCAGTACTCCTTCCATGTTTATTTAACATGAGTAGATGCTTATCACTTGTTCCCTGTTTAGGATATGGTTTACGGGTACCATGGCCATATTGTTTTAACTGAAAGTATTTTGCTTCTGATAAAGTCCACATTGAACGAAACGCATCAGCATTTAATAGTTTTCCTATAGACATTTTTTATTCATATATATATATATATATATATATATATATATATATATATGAATTAAAATGACAATAGAAAAACTATTAATGTTGACTGTTTGTTCAATGTGGACTTTATGAAAGCAAAATACGAAATGAATTTATCTGAACGTATTATGCTTTGATAAAGTCCACATTGGACGAAACGCGTCAGCATTTGATATTTTTCTTATTGTCATACTCCTATGTTTATTTAACATGAGTAGATGTTTATCACTTGTTCCTTGTTTAGGTTTAGGATATGGTTTACGGCTTCCATGGCCATATTGTTTTAACTGTCTTAATTTTTTAATGATATAATTGATCAGTGGTTGCCACTTTTCATTATGAGAATACCTTGTTGGTAGTTTTCTCGTTGCTGCTCTTGAATGGTAGTAAAACACCCAAACTCTTTGGTACATTTTTAATAAGAATAATTAAATGAAAAATAAAGATTTAATACTAAAGAATTTACAATCTGTAAACCGAAGTGTAGTACATGATATCGAACTGATTTCCAAATTTGTTTATGACGTTGGCAGTTCAGTAAACTACAGTTCTGTATAAAACATTTTGAAACAATTTGCGAGTATTTTTGTGTTTGATGATTTCGATAATCCACCCAGCCACTTGTGCTGTGAACAGATTAACAGGAGTATATAGTTACACCTATCGCCCAGTTAGTACTCGTATGTTTATTGAACAGACGTAGAGGTTTATCACTTATATGGTTTACCGCTTCTTTCTTTTTTTCATAGGCGTAATGATTTTACTGTTTTAACTTTTTGATGATCTGACTGATTTTTCATCATCATTTATGACCGGCTATAAAAATTTCATCAAGAAAAAAAAATTTAATACTCCAACCAGTCAGCATTGTACGAAAAATTTGATCATGACTATATTTTCTTTCAAACAAATCAAAATGAAATTAATAAATATTATACTGTATTTACAATCTGTAAACTGAAGTAATGTACAGAATATCAAACTGATTTTTGAATTTGTTTATTACTTTTGCAGTTCAGTACACCACAGTTCTGTATGAACATCTTGAAATAATCTAGAAATGTCAGAAATGGATCAAAAGTGACATTAAAACTATCTGAAAATGGTTGACATAAACCCAATACACATACATAACGCCTAAAATAGCTGTCGGTGACATCACCTCACTAGTGATCAAGTCACTAAAAGAGAACCCTGTCGTTAAGACAGGATTAACTGTATTAGTTTTATTTATCTATATATCTAACTACCTACCTATCTGTCTGTGTGTGTGCCCCTCCCCCCCTCTCTCTCTCTCTAATGGACTAAGTCCGACTATTATTTTAAATATATTTTGTTTATACGTTATTTTTGAAGATACAAATATTTAAGTAAATACTCTGTATTAACAATATTTACTGGTCTGAATGTCCAAGAAATATAACCAGACGCTTCCACTGTAGCTAAATGGTACCGCACGTTAAGCCTTATGTTGTTCCATGTAGAAGAGGGAAAGAGGGGGATTGCTTTGTAGCTCGCTTTCTGCGTGTGGATGTGAATGAGTTCTTTTACACACTGCCCCTCAATATGTTACACAATAAAAAAAACTTATATGTGTGTGTGTCGTATTATATTTAAGAATATAGAGTACCTGTATGTGTGCGGAGTTATTTATGTGTTTACATTTTTATCGAATTCTTTTTCTTTTTTGTAGCTGTTATTGTGAAGCCTTACAAATGTGACCAGATGCTATGTGTGACTCAAGATATGGTTTGCGCGAATGTTACCAAACTGTTATTATTGAGAGATATACGAGCAAGTAGGTATTACCCTTACTATCATTGTACATCTGTAGAGAGCCCCTGTCTCAGAACACTCTAAAAAATTACCAGAGGTGGCCTCAACCTTTTGAACTGTAATGCATTATAGATACCGGATATAACAGCAAAAATTGCCCAAATCGTGGGTCAGCAAAATTGCCCAGTGGATAGATTAAGCTTTTAACGGTTGTATCTTAGAAATGATGAAAGACATCTTACTGGGATTCTCCGATCTTTTTATAAAACTATAAACGATAAAATGTATTTAGCTCTCAGTTGAAATGATGATCCCTCTTCTTGTTGTGATTTCCTCATCCAGTTTTGCTCTCTATTTTCCCCTATTTTTAAACTTACTCACCGTTTTTGTGATGGTTCTTGAATGGACTTTGAAACCAGAGTATGAATGTTGGTACCATTACTGAAGGCCGAAATGATCTTTTTCCTCTTACCATTGCTCAGATGGGAAGACATAGCAGGGATGACACAAAACGATTTGTTGTAATGAAATGTTCCAGTCTCCCTATCGTGAACTGACTGTATCTGTAATATATGTAGTGTGTACAAGACATACCGGACACTGGATTCAGGAAGTGTTAATCGACTCCCTGTCTTTCAGTAGTGTATTCTCTTTTACAATAAACCTCTTTTTCTTTTATCTACGCTTGTGTTGATGTTCCTTTTACTCGAGTACCAACTACAACTTGTCTGTTTGTAACCTTTTTAAGGATACAACACGATTTTAACTTGTTCTATTTGTAGATGAATAACTCAAAGGGTTTTTCAGTAATTATTACGATAAATGGTGTCAAGATGGCTACACATGTTATCTGAAGACCTAGTTTATTTGTTTTTTTTTTTGTTTTTTTTATAGATATTAAACATTTTGTAGGATGGACAATTATTGCATGCTTTTATGCGATTTGGACAATTTGCTGTTACACACGGTATATATATATATATATATATATATATATATATATATATATATATATATATATATGAAGAAAAAATATACATGCACCATATACAATTCAACATGAAAAAGACGATGGACATAAAAGCAATAATAATCCAAACAGTGGTCTATGTTAATTATGTTTTATGAATATGTCCTGAAGATGGTCTATTAGACCGAAACGTCCGACGTTGGCATTTTAAAACAGCATAATCGCATATTAGGATTTTTGTTTGTTTTTTCAGTATATTTTTCTTCATACTGTCGGATCTATATCCATATATTTGCTTATATATATATATATATATATATATATATATGTGTGTGTGTGTGTGTGTGTGTGTGTGTGTTTATAAAACTATTGGACTCTAAACGATAAAATGTATTTAGCTCTCAGTTGATCCTTCTTCTTGTTGTGATTTCCTTGTCCAGTTTTGCTTTCTGCTTTTCAGTATTTTTAAACAGTTTTACAGCTTAAATCAAAATATATGCTGATGTGGTGATAAATAATCATAAATTATCTTTACAATCTTTCTACATCTGCAGATGCGTGTAGCATCTGTTGGTATCAAGAGCTCATGAATCAGCACACTCTTTCTTAAAAAAAAATATTCAATCTCTGGTGTTAGCACATCGACATCTGTTTTTTTTTAAATCAAGCGCAATTGCCTGAATAGGAAATTAATTTTTTGGAATATCGAGACATCTGAGACTGTATCATACATCTCCCTCTCCACAAATCCACTATTATATCATTATTTTTATTGTTTTCTCTTGAATTTCTTTTCAAGCCTATATATATATATATATATATATATATATATATATATATATATATATATATATGTATGTATATATATATATATAAAGAAAGAACAGTAAGATATATAATCCGGTGTTCTTATAGATATTTTTATTTTTACAAAATAGTGCTCAATGTAAATTAACAGAGCATTAATATTATAAATTAATTGATTTAAAATATGTTTTTTCCGCTACACAGTTCTAACCATGTTTCAAAAATAGAAGCTAAAAGCTCCGAATTTAATTTTGCAATTAAATTAAAAGCATTAGTTCCATTTCATTCTCAAGCGAATTTTGGAGTAACTTTTAAAAAATTACTGGGTTTTAAAGACACAACTAAAATCACGTTTCCATGGTTACAGATAAATCTACTTCAATTGGACAAGGGATGTCTAGGTATTCCTTATGTTAGTATCATTGTATCAGTTATTAGCTACAATTTGGTAAGGGGCTAGGGATGTATTTTTCAATAAAAATTGACATCCGTTCAATGCATGTCGTCTGGATTTTTTTTTAAATTATTGTTAACGGTAAAAAATTCTTACGGCATTTTTTTTCCATTTATAAATTTAAAGATTTTCGGGGGTGTTCAGATCATAATACTTTTTATTTAACTACGATTTGAAATATTCTCATTTTTAATTTTTATTATACTATATTCTTTTTAAGAACAGTTAAATGTATTAGAATCCATTATATTATGTAGGATTATTTTAACATCAAGTTTAAGTTTGTATATGAGGTTACATTTTTTTTTTTTATGAAAAATTTATGACTGACGGCAAAAATGGTTACTTAATTTCACTGATTTAGTAAACTTTTATTTTATATATAAACCTAGTAATATATTGTTTCTCATGTAAGTACAAAGGACATGGGTCATTCAAAAGCTTACATCTTATGGCATTTCATATTAATTTTATTTTACTATAGGTGTTTTTATTGGATTCTTTTAAGTGCGTGTAGTACTAAGTAAAAGAAGTTTAGGTTAGAATTCATTTTATTTAACTACAATTTTAATTACAATTTTAAAATTACAACTTTAAAATTTTAAAATATTTTCATTGTTAGTTTTAATAGATTATATTACTATATAACAGAAGGAAAAATTACTCATAGTAAGTAAAATTATTTTTCCATATCAAAGTATATGTAAATTACGATTTTTAAACTTTTATAATTAAATATTATTCAAGTATTATTCAATTGCGCTTGATTTTAAAAAAAAAAACAGATGTCGATGTGCTAACACCAGAGATTGAATATTTTTTTTTAAGAAAGAGTGTGCTGATTCATGAGCTCTTGATACCAACAGATGCTACACGTATCTGCAGATGTAGAATGATGGTAAAGATAAACTGTTTATGGCACTTACTACAAAACTAGCTAAGTCATTTCTCAGATTTATTAAACTTTATTTATTAATTAATTTATTTATTTTAAATATATATAACCTAAGTAATAAAGTTTCATATGTATGTACAAAGAACATGGGTCGTACACTACCCTACATCCTCTAGCTTTTGTTATAATTTCATTTTTCAGTAGGTGTTTTATTGGATTCATTCAAGTGCCTGTAGTACATTTATTATAGAGGTGTTTCGGTTAGCATACATTTTATTTCACTACAATTTTTAAAAGATGAAAGGAAAATTTTTGACAATGACGGCATATAATAGCTATTTCATTTCTCTGATTCAGTAAATTTTTATTTTTTATAAACTTAGTAATATATAGTTTCTCGTGTATTCATAGAGGACAAGGGTCAATTAATGACCTACAAATTCTAGCTTTTCTTATTAACTTCCATTTTACTGTAGGTGTTTTATTTGATTCTTTTAGATGCCAGAAATATTTTGAGAGAGACATGCATTCAACGGATGTCAATTTTCATTGAAAAATACATCCCTAACGCCTTACCAAATTGTAGCTAATAACTGATACAATGATACTGACAGAATGAAAACCTAGACATCCCTTGTTCAATTTAAGTAGAATATTCTGTAACCATGGAAACGTGATTTTAGTTGTGTTTTTAAAACCCAGTAATTTTTTAAAAGTTACTCCAAAATTCGCTTGAGAATGAAATGGAACTAATGCTTTTAATTTAATTGCAAAATTAAATTCGGGGCTTTTAGCTTCAATTTTTGAAACATGGTTAGAACTGTGTAGCGGAAAAAACCATATTTTAAATCAATTAATTTATAATATATATATATAGTGCTATTCGATAAAAGTGACTTTTTTTACTAAATGTTCTCTTCTCCGATGAAACGAAAGTTGATCTAAATTCAAAGGATAAGCGATCTAAAATCCGAAGAAGCAGCTTTGAAAGCTCTTTGTATTTAGCAGTAAGTAAAGTCAAACATCCCTTCAGTATAATGTTCTGGGGATGCTTTTCTTTTCATGAAACTGGTTTCTTAAAACCTATTTAAAAGACCCTCAGGAGTGAGCAGTACAAGAGAATTTTAGAGTCTTGTCTGCTCCCTTTTGCTGAAAGGGTGCAAATCGACCCCACCAAACTCATTTTTTATGCAGGATAATGCTCCCTGTCACAAATCAAAATTGATGAAGGAATACTTTGATGAGAAGCAGGTGAGTGTTATGACATCCCCCCCCCCAATTTCCTGACCTCAACCACATAGAAAACTTATGGAGCATTATAAAGTGCAAGCTCTCGAGAAAGCAGTTGAGCAACAAAGAGGATTTGATTTTGAATTTCATATCCGAATGGAATTCAATGCTTGGAGATGAGATTTGCCAGAATCTAATCAAGTCAATGCCAAAAAGGGTTGAAAAGGTTATTCAAAATAAAGGAGGACCCATAGATTATTAAATATTCTGAACTATATTATCTATTATAAATAAATTATACCTCTATTATTCTTTATTTAAAGCTGTTCGGTTATGTTTCTATTGATTACTAATTGCAGGAAATAAGTGAGTCACTTTTTTTGTACAGAGTTTTTCCCTAAACCTCATTTATATCCAAAATTATAATTATCAATAGAATACCTTAGGGTGAGTAAACTTTTTTACTAGGTAGTCAGGAAGGGTGACCCACAAAAACGGGAATTTTTGAAGTGCGTATTGCCAGACATGAGAAAGTGGCAACACTGCGAGACAGTGACCTTGAGCAACTAAACATTTCGCCATTTAGAATTCAAGATGAAATATCCCAGCTGAGATTTTGCAACAGTCAACAAGGAATCTCAACAGCAGATTTCAAGAATGCATTCGTACAGGGGGACGCGATCTACAGGACGTAATTTTTAAAAAATGAAAATTTCATCATTGTTTCTTAAATGGCATGTTTTAAGGTTTCAATTACTATGAATAAAATATTTTTTCTTCCATCACTCTTGGTTTTATTGGATTGTTAAAAAGTTCCCGTTTTTTTGGGTCATCCTATATTAGTAAGATTAAAAATTAGTTTGACCTCAAAAACAATAGGCGAAAAAATTTTAAGTAAAAAAAATCAGGTGAGTCACTTTTATATATATATATATATATAGGTATTTTACAAGTATTTAGGCGGCAATCCTTCTTTCATGCAAGTTTCATTAAATATGACAGACAAGGTACTTTGATGAAGTTTTTTTTATATAATTTCTCATGTGATCTTGTTATTTCTTTTCAGTATATAAAGCATACAAAAACTATCCAAGAGTTGTTTTTTTCCGAGCTCTTACGGCTGTACATTTAACCATTTTTAAGGTTGAAATATATTAGCTGTTAACTAGAAATAGATTGTATGTATGTATGTATATATCTATATAATGTTTCATTTTCAAAAGACGGTCAACATATTATGTTCATATTCATAGTTGATATTATTGAGTGTTGTATTTTTGTTTTTATTAATAAGGCTTCCATTATTTTTAGCCTTTTTTGCATATAGATGATGCTATTGTATTTGTGTTGTCAACATATATGTTGATAATATCAACTATGAATATGGACACAATATGTTGGCCGTGTTTTGAAAGTGAAGCATATAAATACATACAACAATCTAAACAATCTATTTCTAATTAAGTTAATATATTGTGTGTATGTATTGATATAATGTTTCATTTATATATATATATATATATATATATATTCGGTCTATACGTTATTTTTATAGATAAAAATATTTAAGTAAATGCTTTGCTTATAATAACAGTACTAACAACATTTTCAGCTATGGCATTTCTATCTAGGTGAAACTTAGAACTTTTTGAACTACCCTCCTGCATATATATATATATATATATATATATATATATATATATATATATATAAAATTCTCAAAATATGTGTGTGATCGGATGTTGTTTATGCATTTCCAATTTTCATCCGATTTCGATGATTTTTTTTTTTTTTGTTTTATAAATAATTCTTCCGTGCTGGTTTTGAGTCCAAATAGGCAGTAAAAAAATTACAACCTTGAAGAAAAATCGAAAAAACTGATTTTTTTACACTTTGCGCAAAAATCAAAGGCAAAATGTAATGTCTAAAAAACAGCGTACAATCAATTTAGAAAGCTGAAATCTAATGCAAAAGTTTATTAGAATTATAGAGAAAATATTGTAAATAACAATTATCGTATATTATTATTATTATTATTATAACTGTCCATGGAAGTAGTTCCTTCCTTGCAAGATTGAGAACACAAAAGCGGCCCTTTTCAGGGTCACCCCCATTATTCAAATTGTTAACCCCCCTATTTGGGGATGTGTCTCAGTTGCATCTAATTTTTGTTACTAATATTGATTTTCAGGCGGGCTGACTTTAAACTTAAACTGTTCCAATTGAACAGCAAAAATTCTCAGTAATGAAAGACCCTGTCGAAGACGGGTTATACTGCTAGTATATATATTATATATTAATAACAGCTGACCACTCTTATTCGAGGATACCCGTCTACTAGGGCGGCTAGCAAATCCCTATTGTAGACTCTCGCTCAGGCACACTTGTGTTTGTTCAACACCCACATAGCTAACCTGTGGTTTATACTGCAACTATGTGAGCAGACCTTAGTTACAGTTTCTCGGAAAAATCGTGTTTACTAGCGTGATCAACAATTTAACTAAGGCCAGCACACTCAAACCCTCGGTCACTATGACTTGTGACTTCGTGCTAGCACAGCTATCGACAGGCCCCAAGGGTTTCGTCTACCCATTTTCACTCACAAGGCTTGGATCAACCCGTGGTATGGCCTTCAGGAACTTTCCAAAGGTACCGTACGCTGAAATCGTCCCCCTCCAGACCGACAACGTCAGGAAGGAGACTTCCTGTCATATATATATATATATATATATATATATATATATATATATATATATATATATATATATTGGCAACAATTTCCTGACTGAAAGCAATCTTCAGGCCATGCGTGTTGGGTAGGTGTTGGATGTACACCTTTATTTTTGTGTGGATTTAAAGATTACCATTTCTGCAAATTCTAGCTGTGATTTTTACAAAGTAAAACCGTTGCTTGAAAAATCGTTAGTATAAATCGGATTATCCATATGATTTTGACCAATCGTTGAATCCGAAATCTTCTGGGTATGTGACATTAGCTTGGCATGACCCAATAGGCAATTCCTCATCCAAAAATGGGACACGCTGCTGATTTCTGCAAGTTCTTTACCTAATTATTTTCTTTTTTCTTCTTTTTTCAGACGTAGAAATTTACAGTTATCCTTTGGAAAACGACAATTGTATGAGAGATTTCAAGAAAATCACTATTCAAGCACAAAGAAAGTATATTGAAGTGACACCTTCCGTTGCCATAATTAACGGAAAAAGGATTAACATGACAAATCGATCATTGACTCGCCTGAAATTTAATAATTTCCTTCAGCTCAATGTCTTTTTCAATCGAAGACAAACACAACCTACTGTCTCGGTTCAATTCATTGTCTTGAACGAAATGCATAAAGCCGCGGGTTTATATAGTAAGTATCAAATTTTTAAAAATATATTTATTATTAACCGAGCAGCCATGAGAACAAAAGAAGCAAATGGGCGGTAAGTAAGACATAGACAAAAGCGCACTGGCAATTCGCAGACAACAGGAAGAGTTGAAATATTGGATTAATAAATCATTTAAGACAACGTAAGGTAGCACTCAGGTACAGATGCCATCGGCCATTATTATCAAAATGTATTCTGACATCCTTTTTGAAGTTGACGGTTTTATTTTTTTACGGTTTATCAACCCATTTTGGGTCATTCAAAACCGAAACACATTTTAGATTGTAAAAACAATTATTGCAGTGATTATTGCATTAACAATCATTTGAGAATAATAATGATCTTTCTCGTTAAACGTTCGACTATTTAACCCATATCTGTGCGGGTAGATGAATTCCTACCAAAACACAAGACTAGAAAGGTATTTAAGACAACGAAAGAGGCATATTTTACACAGGTACAAGTTCAACCTGCCATTATAATCAAAACATATTTTGATTTCATTCTTAAAGACATCTAATCTCTTGGCATTTACTGTCGAATGAAGGAAAGCATTCAACTTCTCTATCCGATGTGAAAAAGAATATTTTCATATCTTAAATTTTGAATGAATATCCACTGGAAACATGTCATTAATTGAATTTACTATTCTTAATACCTCTATTAAATCAAGACCTTGACGTATATTTTCAACTGAGAAAAGACTTAAGTTCAAAGCCATATTTTTAATTTCAGAACTCATTTTGGTAAAGCATTTTGCACTTTTTCTAGCTGCTGTATATCACACTGAATGGCCGACTCTCAAATAAAGGAATATAGACTAAAATAGAACGGACTAGTGAGGAATAAAACTTCAGAAGGGTATTTGTCGTATAAAAAGATTTCTTTTTATTTTCTCTATTACGCTGTAAATGAGGATCTTCGATAAAAGTCATATGTGATAGGGAGGTGCAAATTCTTTTCAGTAAACACAATGTAACCATCTGATCTTTGAAAGTGTTGATCAAGTTGAAATATCAACAACCTGAAATTCTTTGTTTCTTCTATAATGACATTAAAATGATTATGTCCAGAAGGTCAACAGAAGTTACCATCACCTACTAATATAATCGCCATGTTTTTCGATCTCCTTTTTAAAGACAGTCTTGGCATTAACTTCCAAAAAAGGCAGTACCCTCTGCGAAAAGGAATATTTTCATATGTTCATAATCTAAACTAGCGTTTAAAATTAAGGTAAAGACTTTTTTTTTCTAAAACATATTCTTAATTTCAGAACTCATTTTGGTAAAGCATTTTTGCACTTTTCTAACTATTTTATATCACGCTGAGTGAATGACGATCAAATATACGAAGTATAGGCTAAAATAAGGCGGATTAGCGATAAATAAGTCTTCAGTATATTATATGTTGTCTTCAGTCTTCAGAATGGTATATGTAGTCTTCAGTTTTCAGAATGGTATATGTTGTCTTCAGAATGTCAAATCCTGTCTTCAGTCTTCAGAATGGTACTTGTTGCCTTCAGTCTTCGGAATGGTATATGTTTCTTCAGTCTACAGAATGTCATATGTTTTCTTCAGTCTTCAGAATAGTACATGTTGTCTTCAGTCTGCAGAATGGTACATGTTGTCTTCAGAATAGTATGTGTTGTCTTCGGAATGTGTATATATATATATATATATATATATATATATATAGATAGATAGATAGATAGATAGATAGATAGATAGATAGATATATGTATATATATATATTTGTATATATATATATATATATATATGTGTGTGTGTGTGTGTGTGTGTGTGTATATATATGTATGGTACATGTTGTCTTCAGAATGGTACATGTTGCCTTCAGTCTTCAGAATGTCATATATATATATATATATATGGAAAATTATATAATGATTGCAATATTTTATATGAATTAATTTAATATATTTATAATAATCTTAATAATATAAAAAATATTAAAATAAATTAATATAAAATATTAAAAAGTATAAAATATTCATAATAAAATTAATTTAATATATATATATTATATAAGGATTATATATATAAAGGAAAGATGAATTCTATTAACTTCTTCAGCGGTAAAGGCAATTTCTAGCAAAACCATCCACCCTGAGGGCTTGTATATATACTAGTATACATGAATATTCCATAGAATGTAGTTGCTAAATACAAATTTATTCTTATTGAATTACTTTTACTTCAAAATAAAGCATATATATTTACTATTTCTATAATACATTTCCTAAAATTATCTACTAGTAAAAAATAACATAAGTTTTTTTTTTCATTGATTATCTATGGGGGTTCACCAACAAAATTTAAGAGTAAAAGTTGTCCATAAGCAAAAAAAAAGTTTGTGAACCACTCATTTAAACTATCATGCAATATCGAACCATTTTTTTTCAGTTCAATGATTAAAATATCTATATGAAACTAGGTATGATGTATTTTAGTAAGTAAAATGAATTTTATTCACACTTTACTTGCCACCTTGGGTATTTGAACCCTTATATAATATCATCCATGTTTTTAATATAATTACCATTAAGATTTATTTTAATACTAATATATATGCACATTATTTAAATAATATATTATTCACTCCAGGGAATGGTATGTTAAAGTAAATATAATGTAATTAATGCGCACATATTATTTACACTGTTTCCATTGTTTACACTGTTGTCCTCATGTTTCTTACCATATTCACGACGAATTGGCCGTTCTATGCTCCAGCCTTCTTCAGGTCATTAGAATTTCAAGCCAAATCTTTTATTTTGTCCACTGGGATAGATTGTTTTAGTTCCACGTGCCATGCCTCTTCCATATGTCTCAGTATCAGTTCTCTCCGGCTTTTTGTTCACCTCTGCTGTAGCCAGGTATTGAACTCACAACTAATTGTGCCAAGTCACTGGATTCAACCAATGCTTATATAAGGATTAAATATAAACGAAAAATTAACAGTATTAACCTTTTCATCAGCATCAACCCCACGGATCTCATTGAATAAATCTGATGCATTTTTTTAAATTTTATTAATTATTTTAAAATTGTTTATGAGGAGTTATTTTACAAGTGTACATAAATCTTCCGTAGAATTTAGTTTTTAAATACAAGTTTATTTTCATTGAATTAGTTTTACTTCAAAATAAAGCATATACATTTACTATTACTATTTCTATAATACAATTACTAAACTTATCTATTAGTAAAAAATAAAATAAGTTTTTTTTTTTTTTCGTCGTTTTAAGAGTAAAAGTAGTCTACGGGTAGGGTTGCCAGATATCCCTTATATAATTTTGTCCCCTGTCCCATACTGACCTTCAGGGACATCCCAAATATCTCATTCTTTTCTTGGATTCTCTTGATGAAAATAACCCAAATGTAATGAGGAAACTAGTGTTGATTTCTCTGTCTGTATTAAATAAATATTTTATCCCCAATACCTTGACTTTAACTGCTAAAGTAACACATTTTATCAATCCTCTATATTTATTCTCAATGTATAATGTATTTCTTATATAAAGAATGCCTTTTATATTGTTCAATTGTTTTGTCATTGTTTATCAGCCATGACTCAATTTGGAGAGTCTCTAAATTTCCTACACCATGGGTAAAAAAAAAAAGATTGAGAATCACTGATTTAGCGTGTGAATATTATCTCCACTTTGTTTCCAAGTTGGCTGCTAGGTGGCGCTGTCTAGAATTATAAAAAGAATGACATAAGCATATACATCCTCTATAAGAACACCGGATTATATATCATCTGTTCTTTCTTTATATATATATATATATATATATATATATATATATATATATATATATATATATATATATATAATAAAGATTATAACTTATATTGATTAATTTAATATATTAATAATAGCTAATAATATTAATTTTAGATGTTAATAAAATATTTATGTTAATTAAGATAAAATATTTTTAAAAAATAAAATAATAATAAAATTATATAAGGATTAAATATAAAGGAAGGATTAACAGTATTAACTTCTTCAGCAGCATCAACCCCGCGGATCTCATTAAATAAATCTGCACTTTTTAAAAATTTATTAATTATTCACATATTTTAAAATGGTATATTATAAGTTATTTTACTCTAGTATATAAATATCCCATAGAACTTAGCTCTTAAATACAAGTTTATTTTCGTTAGTTTTACTTCAAAATAACGCATGTACATTTATTTCTATAATACAATTCCTAAAATTCCCAAATAAAATAAAATAAGCTTTCTTTATCCAATGGCTATGGGGTAAACCGAAAAAAACTTAAGAAGACTCTACGGAGTCTAATGAATCCTGGAAAGAATTACTTGCCAAATAAAAAACAGCTTGGATTAAAATTATGTATCAATACTAGTGATGTCATTAATTGGTTTACCAATATTGATAATAAACCGAATTGCACCCTATTACAGTTCGATATCGTGGATTACTACTCGTCAATTTCGAAGGATCTATTTATGGCTGCCCTGGACTTTGCAGCTGTATATTCTAACCTTACAAAGGAAGAAACAGATATAATCCTCAGCGCAAAAAAAATCTGTCCTCATGCATAATGGGGACCAATGGATAAAAAACAATAATTACCTGTTTGACATCACTATGGGATCATTAGACTCTGCAGAGTCTTCTGACCTTGTTGGTCTTTTAATACTGTACAACTTGACCACGCATCGCGAAATAGATATTGAGGACATCGGACTGTATAGAGATGACGGGCCCATGGTGGTGAAGAGTTCTACTAGTTTTAAAATAGAGAAAATTAGAAAAATTATATTTAGTGAATTTAAAAATCTAAACTTAAAGATAACAGTATATCTAAATTGAAAAGGGTAAACTTCCTCGACGTAACTCTAGATTTAACAAACAACACATACCAACCTTATAGAAAACCAAATACTAACCCCTTATATATACACCCGAAGTCAAACCACCCTCCATCCATAATTAAACATATACCCTCATCAATAGAAAATAGAATTAGCATTAACTCCGCTAACAAAGAAATATTCCAACAACACAATAGCTTTTATAACGCTGCCCTAAAAAATAGTGGTTACAAAAATACAAACATTAACTATAGAAACAATTACACTAGCCAGAAGAAGAAAAAAAACAGGAAAAGAAAAATCATTTGGTATACCCCTCCGTTCAACCAAATGGTTAGTATTAAACTAGGACAGAAATTCCTAGCTTTAATTGAAAAACACTTCCCCACCAATAGTAGGCTTAGTAATATATTTAATAAGAACACCCTAAAACTGAGTTACAGCTGCACTGAAAATCTAGAAAGTATAATAAAAAAACACAATAATAAAATCCTGAACAAATCCCCATGCCTGAATAGTATTAATAAAAACCCTACACTCAAATTAGACAATAACAGTGAAAAACTGTGTGATTGTAGAAACCCAGAAGACTGACCATTAGAAAATAAATGCTGCATCAAATCTGTGGTATACCAATGTACTATTTCATCCACTGAGAGTCATAATACTGATATGATATACATTGGGTCTACGAAAAATGAATTTAAAGCCAGATGGAGGCAGCATAAGTTCTCTTTCAACAATATAAATAAAAGAAATCAGACCCTTCTATCTAAATATTTTTGGCATTTGAAGGAAATAAATAGGACACCTAAAGTAAAATGGAAAATTATAAACAGGACTAGAACTTGTAAAACTTGGGACGACCCATGCCCTTTATACCTCCATGAGAAACTGCACATTAAGTTTCTAAATAATAAAAATCTATTAAACAATAGACATGAGTTAACGGTTTTTTGCCGACATCATCAAATTTTTGCATTGAATAATTAGCTTAAAAACAAGCATACAATAATATAATTTTTATAATCCATGGCCCTAATAAATAGTTTGAATACCCTACAAAAATAGATAACCCTTTATAAAGTCGTCAAAAAACAAATGTTACGGCAGTTTTTATATACACAAAACCCTTTCATAAAGAAATAAAATAAAATAAAAAAATAAATCTCCATAGACACGTAAACCAGACTGGGCGAAAACATCTTCCGTTTTAAATTTTAAATTTAGACACCCCTACCTTACTCTGACTTGACATCTATGAATGTAACTCTATACTGATACATATTATTAACACACAACACACCTCCCTATTTAAACAATCGCCCTGGCTGTTACCATGGAAATTTTGATTTCAATTATGAATATGCTATTAAAACACGTAAATTTCAGAAATAAGTTATTCCCAAAAAAAATTTCGCTTGAAGATGGAACAGAGCTTACTTTAACTCAATTTAATTCAAATAATTATATTGAAATTTTAGGCTCTTGTTTTGAAACATGAGACCTCTTATGTAGCGTGTTGGAATCATATTTTTAAATAAATAATTATATATATATATATATATATATATATATATATATATATATATATATATAAACACTACAGTTTAAAATTTTGAAGCCACCCCCCAGAATTAGCATGGGATGAACTTGACTGAAGAGAGAAAAAAAATGAAGAGAGCTCTTAGAGTCAATGAAAAGTAGAATTAAACTTATACTTGGGGAAACTTTTACAACGAATATAAAAAATTTGTGCTGCTGTAATCAAGATTAAAAGAGGATATTTTGACGAGAGCAAAATTTAATCATGATTTTTTTCTTTTTGTCATAATAAAATTCTAATAAATAAAATATTTAACACGATTTTTAGTTATTTTCTTTGCATCATATTTTTTACTCTGTTTTTTTGCTTTTCTTTCTCTCTTGTTATGGTTCATTGGAACCTTTGTCAATTCTGTTTGTTAGGCATATAACCATAATCCATTGCTCTACATATTTAAAATATTATTCTTATTTTTTTTTATAGGTCAGTACATGAAAAGTTTCGATTGTATCCTTCATTCAAAGGAAACACTGACTTTAAGTCACATGCGACGCGAGTTCAGCAAGGTCACTTTTAATGCACTGGAAGAAGGTTTAAACAGCTGCTACAAGTAATAAAAAAATACTTTCATGGAAATATCACTTAATAATCGTCATTTTGCAAGCGAATATAATCCCTATTTTAAGAAGTGTGAAACAGTTTCACTGGACGATACATCAACACTTAAAACTAAACGCGATTCAGCACTGAAAAAGAAAGCATGTTTTATGGAAAGTCAACACTTTTTTTTCTTTATCCATATGAGATGCGCCAAGTTTATATGGTTTCGCGTGACACACTTCTAACTAAAGGAGTGGTTTCCCTGATGGGGAAATGGTGACTCCAGTTCGATTACTATTGGGAAAAATATATTTTTCTTACTAGAAACTTCTTGATTTGTAAATTTGTTCACGTTAATTTCAACGTTTCAAAAAGGGTAACATAGATACACACACACAGAGACATACAGAAACAGAGAGAGACAGACACACACACACACATATATATAAATATAAATATAGGTAACTATACTCGTCTCGAAAAACCTTCGAATTTTTGATTTGTCAATAATCAAATCAATCTCGGAGGAAAAAAAGGTTTTAAAAAAAGAAAGAACTAGAAACATGAAAGTCTGTCGAAAAAATCGCACAGATACAAGTTCAAAGCCCAAAGAAAAAAACCCAAGTAAACAACTAACACACACACACACAAACTTCTGTTCAAAAATTCTAAGTCAATCCCATTATTAGCATGTGATGAAATTGAAAGAACAGTGAAACCTTTCCATCCCAAAAATGAAAACGACCTCTTATACTCAATGAAAAAAAAAGGGGGGAATCAATTATCAAACTTTCGCAATGAATCCCAAAAGTGTTTGCTGTAATAATCAAAGCTAAAGGAGGATATTTTGTCGAGAATAAAATTTAATCATAAAATGTTTTTTCTTCTTTTTGTCATAATTAAGATTCTAATGAATATATCGTGTTTTACTTTTTTAACCATATATAATAATTTTCTCTCATTTAATGTACAAAACTGCTACCTTTAGTCATTGAAAAAAAGAATGAAATCAAACTTAGGGAAACTTTTGCAACTAATACCAAAAATTTGTGCTGCAGTAATCAAGGTTAAAGGAGGATATTTTGACGAGAACAAAATTTGAACATAAAATGCTATTTTCTTCTTGTCAAAAAAATAATTGTAATAAAAAATCATGTCTCACTTTTTTAACGATGTATAATATTCTATCATTTAAAGAACAAAAATTACTTTTTTGGCCTAATTTACCAGGGATGGTCTCAAACTTTTGAACTGTAATTATATATATATGAATAAAAAAGGACCACTTTAAGGTTCTATGCAATAAGTTATTTCACCACAGCCCTTTTTAAGGACTGCGGATCATCAGACTTTAATTCCAAAGGTTGAAATGAAAATGAAAAGAAATTTACACATTTTTGACGGGCAGTATTAAGCATATGTAAATTAACAAAGTGAGGAAGGGAGGAGGGAGAGAAGGCATGAGTGAGTTAGATGTACCATTTCAATTCTTTATCCTTAAGCTCACTTGGTGTGGGCCAGACATCGCTTAACTTAACGTATGTTATCTTAAGATATAGATGGGTAAGGGGGTGAAGAAGAAACCCACATAAAAGGAAAAAGATACAATAAAATAAATCATGAGAGAAGGTTTCACACAATTTCAAAGTAAAGTAAATTTGGAAGTAAAGTCTGATGATCCAGAGCCCTTTAAAAGGGCTGTGGTGAAATAATTTATTACATGGAACCTTAAAGTGGTCTGTTTTTATTCAAATTTATTTGCTCTGAATTTACATTGAGCTCTCTGGATATCATCCTCCTTGGGTCTACCCATACGGATTACCTAGTTTTGCATAAACTATATATATATATATATATATATATATATATATATATATATATACTCTATAGTATAAGAAAAAACAGTGCTCAATGTTAAATAACAGAGCTATTTAATATAGATACCTCCACTTTTCGCGAAAAACAGCATAGCGTAATGAAAAAGGCCGCAGACTTAATAAAAATAACATTTTATCGTCAAAATGTTTACGTTATTATTAAGATGAAAGACAAAAGTATTTTCTATTATTTTCTAAATTTTTAATTCTTTCTAGCACGTTCGAAATTTTGCTTGAAATTTTGTTTTGTTTATGTCATCGCGATGGCATAATAATTACATTGAGTTTTTGCGCTATTTTTCCGATGAAAACACATTGATTTGGAAATTCTTGTAAAAATCAAATAATTGTCCGATTTTAATGTAATTTTCAAGACTTATTCAAAAATGAATGAAATTATTTTTGAAATTTCTTTCAGAAAATTTTAGTTAAAAATATTTTTTTACATATGTTACCCCCACCCCCAACTTAATTTCATGAAATTTCGCAAAATACCTTTATATTTCCTGAATTTTTTTCATTCGTTAAAAGTAGGACACCTTGGAGAATGTAAATCACCTATATATTTTTTTCAAACTTGCAATATTTTAACTGAAAATCTGTTCTGAATTGAAAAATAATAAATGTAAATCGTAAATAAGTTATATTAACGCCACTATTGTCTGAAGAAATAAAATTTTTCCTATTAATAATGAAATTTTTTCAAGAAAGTTTCTTTTTTTTTTTCTTTTTTAAATTTCAATTATAATAATTTATAAATTCGTGTAAAATTCTGGACCATTTCCTGGATGTGATTCAGTAATTAAGTGGAAACGAAATTTACGAATCCAAAACGGAAAAGATTAATAAACGTAGTTACGCTTTTCTATTTTTAAAATCATTTTTCATTTTCTTGTTTGTTCCCTTTTTTCATCTATGAAAGGCTAAACGTGATCTAAGAGTTTTGTCTCTTTACAGAGAAATTAATTTAATAAAATTTTATAGTATTTTAATTTTTTATTTTTGTATAAATCATCTTCGAAAGGTAAATAAGTCAATAAATTATTAGATAATTGCGGATAATATGTTCATTTGTAAAAATTACTGGGTAGTTAAAAACCAAAAAAATGCGTTCAATTAGATTTCGTAAATTTTATGTCAGTTCTAGTCAGCCATACTAGCTGAAATCGCTTCGTCACACAATGGCTCATCAACCATCGCTTCAACTGATCAATAACAAACTGTTGCCTATTAATTTTTTTATGCTATAAGTAAGTAATATTTATTTCAAATCAAATTAATTTAACTTTAAATTTTCTAATTTTAGTCAAATAACGTGTCATATATATAATTTTTGCAACAATGATAGTTTGTTTGCATGGAAGATTGCCATGCAACGACAAATTCGTGCATATGAAACGCATTTATCGTTGCATAGCAATCTTCCATACAAACAAACTATCATTGTTGCAAAATTAGCATCTTTAATCTCCGATGATGGCTTATGTTAGCCGAAAGCTAAGAAAGAATTAAGAATAAAGCATGTATATCAATATGGTGATTTTCTTTCGTCTTTCAATGATAATCTTATTAAACTTATCAAACGTTATGAAAGGATTTTGCATAAATAAATAGACAAAACTTGTCTATATTATTTAATGAAACCTGTATTAATTAATAAATGCTGCCTAAATACACTATATATGTATATGTATTGGAAGAGTTTTAAAATCGATAAATTTGCTTTGTTTACAAATTTCTTAAAATTAAGAAATTAGCCGCTTTTAAGAAAATTTTAAGAAATCGAAATTAAATTTGACATTCAGATCTATATACTTTATATCTGAAATACACCAAAATATTTTACTTACTGGAAAAAAAAAATTTAATCCTTTAGCTTTCAATTAAATCTTCAAGAATGCTTTTTCATTTTTAAAAAATAATTTTAAACCTTAGGTATACAGTGTTTTTTGTTTTTGTATTTTTTTGTTTTTCGAAACTTAGCATGAGCAAAACAAATTCACAGACTTAGATTAAAAAAAAAAAAAGACCTCAGAATTACGTCAAAAACTGCGAGAATTTTTCATCCTTTAATAGTCAGTTGTGCTTAGTTGAGTTTGTAGTGATTACGACTATGTTTTGCCACGCCTACATTTTTCTCAACTGTGATTGGTTAAATAATAAATACTAATATCACAGGACAATTTACTGATCGCATTCACCACACTGAATTTTTCCTACCGTTAACTCACAAACATGCTTTTGTTATAAAATCACCGATTGGTTAATTTTTCATCCAATCAGATATTTTTCGTGTTCTTTCAAAATTTATCCCGCGTTCGTGCTGGGAGCCTACGATAGTAATATAAGTTCGAATTCATTCCCAAATCAAACAGTAGAGTTGAAGACAGTAGAACTCACATGCGTCTACACAGATTATTCATTCTACTCACTCCGCACGCAGAACTTGAATATCATTCACCAACAGTTCTTTGTGTACAAGCCAATTTGCAACAACTCTGTTAGTTACAAAACACACAACTGTACGATCTTCTGAATACACATTATATTTTAACACAGAACCTTGAACATTATATTCAGAAAACTTGCTTATTTAAATATCACCATATTCAACTAACAGTAAAAGAGAAACTACTTTTTTCTCCTTATTCACACATTAATTACTTCGTATTTGTTGTTGATTTTAATATATATATTTTATCGTTAAAACACAAATTGGTTTTTCATTGTTTTATGGAATTAACATTAATTCCATTTATAATTTTACGCGCGCGCGAGTTTCCTCCCTTTTGTTTTACACTCGTGCGTGTGTGCGCGCGTTTGACACCCCTTTCTGTCTCTTTTAGTCTAATACAGTAGTAACTGTTTTTGGTCAGCAGTCAAGACGAGCTGCTACTTCTACTTATGCAAATTAGACTTTTTGAATTTTTCCCGCGCGTTTTTCGGCGTTTCAAAACTGCTAACGTTTGCAATCCAGTTTGCCTCTTAGCTTTCGACCGGACTGGATGGGCAACTCATTTATTCCGTGCACTTAACCCATACGCGGGCCGGAATATCTTATTTTTTTTCAACAATGTCGACTGCACCCTCTACCAAGACTTTTTCTCCGTTTTCTACCAGAAGATGTTTTAGAGATA